GTTGTAGTTGTAGTAGTAGTTGTAGTTGTTGTTGTTGATTTGTAGTAGAAACAGCAGCCGAAAGAGCCAAGGACACTTGAGAAACAGCATGTCCGAAGGTAGCCTCGAAAAGCTGCAAAAGCACAACTCGCCTTTGAGGTGCCGTCCTGGTTGAGATCAGGAAGAATTCCGAACCATCCTTGGACTTGTAATTCGGGATTATCGCCTGGACAATCTGGCCCGCTGTTGCCCGGAAAACAGTTGCACTCCGTCAAGTTCATGTTGCGCGGGCCACCTTTGTGCCACAAAGCGGATGGGGATGACACAAGCCAACCCATGGATGCCAGCCAGTCAAGCAGGCATGAACCTAACCTCTGCTGCAACCTGAGCAGAACGACCCCGCTGACCTCGCAAATAGTTTTCTTGAATTTCTGGAAGCGGCGCAACAGCGAGGTGCTGTTTTGTTTTAGAAGCCGTTGGACAACAGCTTGTGCTCTGGAGTTCCGACATGTATATAAGGACCTTTGAGCGCGATTCTTCAAAGTTCTGTCGCAAAAGGTGCTAGAAGTGAAGCGGTGACCCGACGGTGTCTCTCTTACGGCCGCCCCTCTGATAGTCAGGCCTTGTTTTTTCTCGTTTTTAGGGTGTTCAAACCTTCAAGAAGGGCTCGTGTGGCACGTGCAGCACGGTTCAAGCTTCCACCCACTTTCACGGAACTGGTATGGCAATGTCAAGGAACACCAAGGAGAAGTGCGCTTTCCAAAAGATCTTCGCTCGAAGATTCCGGTTCATGGCTTCAGGAAGCACAAAATCGACTTTGTGGGAACGGCTGAGCCTCGAAAACCAAATCGGGTAGCGACTGGCAGAAGTTGGCAAAATCCGAACCCCCTCTTTGGCAGACAAACTGAGCGATTCCGCAGGCGATCATCGAAATTCCTTAAATTTTTAAAACCGCTGGAGGCCGAAGGCTCGGCCGACTCCCGAGTCGACCAGTGCAATCAAGAGGCACCGCGTCAAACCTTTCTTCACCTAACGAGACTCGCGCGTCGCACGTGCTGTGAGTGCTGTGTCCATGTGCACTGCCCAAATTTGGCTTCGAGTCCAAGGCACTCTGTCTTTCAGAACTTTATCGCTGCCTTGACTATCGGAAGCCTGCGCAGGTCCTCCAAGAACATAATCTCGGAACGGAGTTAACGGCGACTTGCCGTACGTGTGATAGTATTCCTGCACGGCCCAAGTCAAGCTGTGTCGCTCGCACTCCCCTCTTTTTGAGCTCGTCTACGTTGAGTTATCTGGCTCCACTAGACGCACGACTTGATTCCCAAATTTCCAACAACAGCCTCCTTGTTGAAGGGGTTGATGCCTTCTACACCCAGGTATGTCTTTATAGCATCGGGAGAGTTGTCGGACTTCGCCACCAACGGTTGAACATGGTTGGCGACGATGTCCACCACAAGACACATGTTTCGCTTGTGGAGCTCGCTGGACAAGGCACGGAGGGTCTGTTTGGTCCCAATGTGCGGATCAACATCGAAAAAATCTTGGGCATAGTAACCCGTGTAGTCTAAAGACTTGACAACCGGGGTGATCCAGATGCAGTCGAACCCCATCCCTTCGATGTAGTCCAGACGGTCGATGATACCTGGAGTGCAAGGCTGTCCGGGCATTGGCTCCGAGTAGAAGTCTAGCGGAAACACAAAATCACTTTCCTCCTTCAGTCCAAAGATTCGGCTATGTCAACTGCAAATCATTTATAATCATTTCCGCTGCAAAGGACCTTGCAGAGTCCCATTGCACCATGCGCCACCATTCGGAGCAAGCGGATTGGGCAGTGTGGCGAGGTCGCAGAACTCGTAGTTGTCCTAGCAGTGTATCAGAAGTAGTCTATCATACTTTGAGTCTCCGCGCACCAGTTGGTCCTTGTCTGGCCCACTCCTGGCAAAGCGATCCGTCACAATGAAGTAGATGCTCTTGCCCGCGACACTGGGCTTCCGCAATGCAGCTTCGCAGGCGAGTATGAGAGCTGTCCAGACAATCCAGGACTTGCAGAACCAACGTCGCATGGTTGCCATGGCCAGGAGTTTTCTGAAGAGTTGCGACTTTCAATGTGAGTAGTAGGCTGCAAGTCTGGTAGCTGCTGTGGAGATATGATGGGACATGGCCTCGAGCATCAAGCTACAGTGGAGCACCGGAACAGGTCCGGGGCACGATTCTGCCTCCTTGGTCAGCACATGTTCGTGGCACAGCCTAATGAAGAAAATGCTGAAGAAAGGCAACTGCCAGGCTTTTGTCTGCGCCACTCAACTCAAGAATTGTCTTGACCATATCTATCCAGTTGGCCGGATGAAAGTCCGTGGACACCTGCAGGCATGGCAACAAGGGCTTGCAGTGGCACAGCATGCGGCCCTGCGAAGGACCATTTGCAATCGACTGATGTATGCCGGCAACTCCATCTCGCCAATGTGGCCAGTTGTCTGTGGGCAGCGCTTTTATTTTTTCGTTGCTTTGAAGTCTTTGATGATCGGTTTGGCCGAGCTACAGATCGGGCCGTGTGCAAACATGCTGCACTGCAAGTGCAGTAGCCGAGATTTAGGCTACCATCGACCACTCAAGATTCGGGCAACCAAGTATTGCTCAAACTCAGTCCTTCCTGAACCGTGAAACACTCCGTTCCAGTTCATGCCCTTGCCCTTGTCGGCAATAAGCAGTCGGGGCATTAACTTGTGGTCTTTTAGACCAAGGCAAGCACAAGCAAGTTGTGCTACACGCTCACACTGGTTTCCAGAACACGTGGGTTGTTAACATACATGGGATAGCAGTCGGGGAAACTTCTTGAATCAGCTGCTGCATTGTAGGCATCGCATTTGGCCGCCATGGTCTCCAAATCACTCTGAAACTTTTTGAAGCACTCCTTCGCATTCCCATCTGAAGCTATGGAAGCCGGCGGAAACAAATGGGACCAGTCCTCGCCCAGAAGCCTTTGATGACGGAGCACGAACTCACAAAATTCTAACATGCTGTCAAACTTGCCGCCGCTAGCTTGCCTGGAATATGTCTCCAAAGACATGCAACTCAGTCTCAGCCTCTATCTGTCACTCTCATCCCTCTCGCTTGCTTGCTCGCTTGCTGTCTTGCTCCCAGCCGTAGGGCCCAATTTAGGGTGGGAACCTGAGCGCTTGCGCGGCTGTGTTCTCGGCCGCCCGCACAGGTCTTTGGACCTTCTGTGTGAGACTGTGACTGGGGTCAAGGGGTCCCCCAAGATCTCATCAAAGAGGGTAGCGCATGCGGTAACATCACACGTACAAACAGCTTCAGTGGCGGCGTTGGGAGGTCAATTGTGCACTGTCCAAAACAGTAGGTTTCCAAAACACTGGGTTTGGAAGAGAAGTTGCTTCAGGAAGCACGGCTTCAATTATCTTTGAACTACTTGGGCCCCATCAATTGGAAGGGGCTCTCATGGAAGGCGCAATGTGCCTTGAAAAGAAACCAACATTGTCCACCAGGTTGGGTGCCTAATCCCGCAACGCCTCAGCAGCAGCAGCGGCAGAGAGCGAGAGAGAGAGAGCCCAGCAAGCAAGTAAGCAAGAGAGAGCGAGAGAGCGAGCGAGACTGCAGTACTAGTAGGAGTGGGCCAGGGGGTTGTCCGCGGCTAGCAAGCAAGCAAGCAAGCAAGCGAGATTGTGTGGAAGAAGACAGAGAGAGACTTTCAGAAAAGCCTGAAAAGAAACCTTCAGCAAGAAGGGGACGAGTTCATCCGACTGGCAAGTGGCTGACAGAGATGAACGGCATAAGTGCCGCCAAGAAGAAGCGCGGCACAGCTGAGAGCGAATGATAGGAAGAGCAGAAAGCAGAGACTGGGTTCTCCTCTTTTCTCCAAAGGCTGGTACCGGGCGGGGCAGCCAACCCCAAGACAGAGAAGGATCGCACTCCTTGCAGCTAGTGCTTGGAAGGACCTTGAGGACATGGCTGCAGAAGCAGGAGAGGACACTTGCGCTTGTAAGGTCGCTGTGGAACACATTAGCGCGAGCGCCCGCAACCCTTTACTTGAGACTGTTTTCTTGTGAGGCACTTGACACAAGGCAGTTTCATTTACGCCTTGTAAGGGTCGGGGAATTGTAGGGAATTCTGGCGCTTGCGTGTTGGCGGTACCACATGCCACCTAATATATATATATATATATATATAGGGACCGTTAAGGCAACCCCATTTTCATCCAAGCTGGGCCGAACGAACTGCCCCCTTTCGCCGATTCGTCAGTGGCATGTTTTCGCGGAGGAATCGGGAAATCCTTTTCTTTCCCTCAGCTCTGCCCCACAACGGATGCAAGCTCGGGGTATTTGTCATGGCCTTATCCTTTGCTGCTGCACGCTGTAAGTTGTTGCTCATGACATGTACGGGTCAGGTGACTTACATGGTCTCTGATTGGGTGCGACGTGGCGCACGACGGGACGCATGCGAGCCCCCATTCGCTTTGTATGCTGGTCCATTTAGAAGGGTGTCCCCTGAGGCCTGGCATACCTTCATCTGCCCTGTTGAGTTGGCAGCACCAACATGTGGGGGGGGGGGCGCCGCCAGACTGGGGGTTCGCTGCTTCACATGTCGTCTGCACCGAGTTCTCGTTCAGTTGGTGCTCGAGGTGGTCCTTGCAAATTTGCCTCTGGGTCCACAGTCATGTAACATGTAGCATGTCGCCTCAACCCTACTGCTGGAGGTCGCAAGGGGGCCAGGGTCCGGTGAGGACTTTTTGCGCGTTCCGGGGCCCGCGCAAGCCTGAAACTTACGGCGCGTGGCCTCAAGCCGCCCCCGCTCAGGGAATACGTCCACCCCCAGGCCTGGAGAGCAAAGACTCTCCAGCCCCAAGATGCCCCAAGGTCTGACACCCCGAGAGGCGCAGGCAGTCGACTTGAGCCTGTTGTGCTCTCTTTCTTTCTGTCTTTCTGCGGGCCTGAGGTCAACATCCATCAACTCCCCAAACTCCACATGTTTGCTTGGACGCGCAGCTTCGGCATGGGTGTCGACGTGAAGGACATGAGCAGAGCCTGCAAAGTCGCCGTTTGCTTCGTCCCCCTCAGTGCCCCTGGCGACCACTTGAACGAGGTCCAAGATGCATCCTCCCAGATCGCAAGACTGTCAGCTTGGGCTTGTCTCTGACAGCTTTGAGACAACAGCTTGGCATGACCGTCTTGCTCTGTCGTAGGGTTTGACAGCGACCTCAGGTGTTCATGGTATTTGTTGGGAGTGACTGGCGGGCTCCACGCGCTGTCGCTTCATCGCATCGCAGCTTGGCTACACACCCAGTAATGAAGGAGTGTGATGCAGTTTTGCGATGTGTTCGTGGCTATTTCGCATAGGGTCTCCATTCGCACAGTTTGAGCTGACCTCTTGGCGACAAATCGACTTGGCGACAAACGGAAGGACAAACCAGGAAGAATTCGACTGAAACCAAAACATGGTGGCTGGCTTGCGGTCTCCAGCATTGTTTTAGGCAGGCGATGTACCTAGAACGAATGACCACGCCGTTCCGGCTCGGGCCTGTTACATGCGGTCACGCCTCACCAAAGAAATATGAAACCTTCGAGTCGTTCCCGTGTGGGCACGCGGCGACTATGCCAAATGCGAGACGAAAGCGCCATGGCCATGGCCGTTGCCCCGTCAAGCGAAGGTCTCACTCTTCCCTACAAAAACAGAGGTTACTTCAGTGGTTCAGTGTTCTGAAGACGCAGTCCGAGGCAAGTCCTGGGCATACACCTCAACAGCCCCCATCTGTTCGTGACCTGACAGTCACAGCACGGTTCATGACTGGGCCAAACATGTTTGGGATTTACAGCCTATGGACCTGTCAGAGAGTCTGACAGCATCTTGCAAATCTTTCAAGCTTCTCCATGCCCTGACCAAGCCTGCAGTCGCGAGCCACATGACGCCAGCCATCCACTTGACGTAGAAATCCCAAGTATCCTCTGCCGAAGCAGCACGTGCTACCTGAATCAGCAAATCCAATCGCAGGCCAACATGCCACAAGGCAAGAACATGAAGAACGAGATGGCACGAGCAACTTGCAGAAGGAAGTGCAGCTGATTCAACAAACCCCGAGCAAGAGAAAGCAGGCCAGAGAGAGAGAGAGAGAGAGAGAGAGAGAGAGAGAGAGAGAGCGAGAGAAAGAGGGAGATAGCGAGCTGGAGATGATACATGAGACGGCATTGACGGCATGAGATAGCCTCAGCAAGGGCATGGTTTATGCTTGGCGGTCAAGACTAGGGCGAGAAAAAGAGGCCGCCTGGGCAGTCACCCGTCTCGGTTTAAAGTCCAGCCTATGTGGCTTGTGATTCCGAAGCTGGGTGTCTGTGGGTCTGGGGCGGTCAAACTGCACGGTTCTTCGACATGTGCCAGCTCGTCTTAACACCCAAGTCTTACCCAAGTGCTGCAAACTGGCTTGCAAACTAGACCAAGGTGCACAAGCGATCCGTGGTGCTCCAACCCTCCGTGAAGAGCCGGCATCAATGACCTCCATGCAGTGGAAGAAATGCCGGGCGAACATGCGCAGCTCCGGGTCGTCAGCCAAATCCTGTTTCCTCAGCAAAGCTCCACGCAAGTAACGACGAAGGCAACAGTCCAAAGTAGGGCCATAGCAAGCTGGAAAGCACTAGTGCATTCTGGCAGCGTGGCATAGTAGCACCACAAGTAGCTAACCACAAATCGCTCCATGATATCGTACAGCTCCAAGGCCTGTCGCCAGTACACTGTGTCCACACCACTTTCCTTCAATTTCAGGATGTATGCTCGCAAGTCGAAGATGTCCTTCGTGGATGGGACGACCAAATCGGGGGCTGCTGCAAAAGCGAGCTCCAAGCCTCTCTCTGTCAGAGCAAAGCAGCGTGGTCCCATGGATCTTGGTGCTACAAGATTGAACTTGGCATTGTCATTGATGGAAATTGTCTGGTACGTGAAAGGGGTCAAGAACCTTCTAACCGGGTGCTCCGGCGACATCTGTTCTCGTAAAGCTGTGACGAACAAATTGGTAGTTTGGAGGTGGACATGGTAAAGGTGGTCCACCAGCGTAACCAGCACAAAAAGCGATGACCTGAATCGAAATTTGGCACGAGCCCAGTTTTGCTCTCCTGGCTTGGTGACCATCTTGGTGGCGTCATCATCCTCTCTCATAGGACCCATGCCATAGTCCACAATCATGACAGGCTTCCACGACTCATCAAAATAGGCATCGCCTCCATACCTTTCAAAACCTTCTCGGACTGGGAGGCCTGACAACGCATTGGTCCTGACAACGAACAGGTTTCTGCCATCAACGACCTCCGTTTCAATCCGATGAGCTCCTAGCCCGTACAGGCAGAATCTTGCCAGTGCTCGGTCGCTGTGCTTATCCGCCCATTCCTGGTAGACTGGTGGATAGACTGCCTGAAGCTGCTTCATGACATACTCCACGCAATTCTCCTCTGGAGCAAACTCACTCATACGGTCGAATGCTGGCCACCAGAACATGTTATGCTCGATGAAATTTTGGGTCCACGTCGGTCTTATATACGGACGCAGAAATTGATCCGTATCACCCAAAGGAACTTGGAGGTTCAGGGTGTAGTCCAAGTATACCTTCTTCAATGGCTCCTTTGGCCTCATCAAATCCAACGGCATGAACTTATCGCTTGCTTCGGGGGTAGGCGCGTTCCAGTGGATGACAATGTGCGACAAGTATATCCTCGGCACGTGTGAATGTATAGACAAACTGCAGCAAAAACGAGACATGAGAACGTAGGTTTGCTACTAGTAGTAGTAGTAGTAGTAGTAGTAGTAGTAGTCGTAGTCGTAGTAGTCGTAGTAGTCGTAGTAGTCGTAGTAGTAGTAGTAGTAGTAGTAGTAGTAGTAGTAAGTAGTACGGCGTAGTAAGTAGTAAGTAGTAAGTCTTCTTAAGTTGTATGTAGTAAGTAGTAACTAAGTAGTATAAGTAGACAGTAGAAGATAGCAAGTAGTAAATAGCAAGAAGTAGTAGAAGTAGCAATAATACGTAGTACGTAGTACTTACGTTGAACGTAGTACCTACGTCGTCGTGCGCAGAACGTAGTACGTCGTACGCAGCTCCTGCGAAGTAGCAGTAGCAGCTGCAGTGGCAGCACGTGGCAGCAGCAGTAGCAGTAGCAGCAGTAGTCGTGGTGGTAGCAGTGGCGGTGGCGGTGGTGGTGGTGGTGGTGGTGGTGGTGGTGGTACGCGTAGGAATAGAACTAGCATTAGAACTAGTACTAGTAAGTCGTGCTATGAATGGTTTTTCCCATCTCTGACATTCAAGCCATGAGGCATATGGACATAGAGGTCCCAGGTCCAATACGCAGGGTAGAGCTGCCACATGCACGTGTACATGATGAAACATGACCTAAGGGCATGGTGCACAGGAGATTGCACGGCGGCAACACGAGAGAGTCGGAAGGGGCTATCGACTAATCTAAGCCTTCGGCATTGGAATGAGGCACACCAAAGCTGCCAGAAAGAAGCCCACGCTGAGGAATGTAAAGGCGAGGACGGCAACGGCGAACAAAACAATGGCAGCACACGGATAGCACAATGCACCAGGGCAACAGAAGTACTTGTTGTTGTAACCAGGACTGGGCCTCAGGTTGCTTCAACTCATGTTGGATCACACCGCGGCACATTACGCTTGGAACTGACAAAGTTTCCAGAACGCTACCTCTTCCAAGCGGCTGAACCAGTGGCCAGCTTCGAATCTCATCAGCATTCTTCTGCAGCAGCTGGCGCTGCTCGCCCTTTTCGGCGTCTACTGCCATGTGGCTGTGCTACCCACTGACACCAAAACCACCTGCTCCTTGGGTCTTTGAGCCAGAAGCGCTGCCATCCCACCACACGTTGATGGCCTGTATCTGGCTCACGTCCAGGCGCGGGCTCCGACAATAGACCCAAGAAAGGAACGTTGCAACAGCTACTCGCAGCCTCATGACATCTCAAGACACAGATACACTCAACATGTGCAACACAGCATCAAAGAACATCAAAGACGAGCACAGAAAGACACGAGCCAGTGCTTGCAGCTGCAATCAGCTGCACCATGCCGGATGCAGCACTCCTGCCTGGAGCTGCTCGTGGGCGTCAAGCCAAAGAGGCGCACGAGCAGGATCTTTCCGTGGGGCCGTGGGGGTTGGATGCGCAGGTTCTTTGAGGAGGAAGCTACGCTATTCTTGTCACTCAGCTGCACCTTCAAATGGTGCCTCTGGCCAACCATGTCGAAAGCTCCAGCGCTCTCCGTCGCATGGCGCAAGGTTGCTGGGTTCTCCTGATTTACCCTGGCCGTGCCTGCAGCATTTCACAAAGTGGCCTTTCATCATGTTGTGATTCTTGGTTTTCGTTGCATGACATGGCAAGAGAATATGGCCAGCTTCGGAGAGGGTCAGCACATGACACATGTCACAAGCACAACTCCCGCTTCATGTCCATTGCAAAGCCAGACTAAGAGACTAGGCCTAGGCTGCAATGAGGACAACACATTTCGGCCACCCCCTGGCTGCCCCATGGCTGCCAAGTACCTCGCATTGCAAGTCATGCTTGTTGAGCCCGTCCGATGCCACCGTGTGTTGGACGCTGAAAGCCAGCTCAAAGCACACGACAAAAAATCGTAATCTAAGGCACTTGAGCTGCTCGATCTTCTTGAACTCGCCACGCTTGTCGCGATCGAGAAAGTAAAAGCCACTAAACCTGACATTCCACCCGCTTTGATTTATCAATTCTCTCCTACTCGAGACAAAAATCGCCCGGAATGTGAGAATTTGGCCAAGAAGCTCGATCAGTTGGCGAGTTAGTTCATTGGTCACCTGTCGGTGGATCTGCGAAATGACGGCTCCGTGTGGCACCCTGTGGACATTATCCGGTCTGCTTTGAGCATTGTAAGGTCCTGGGTCACTGTTTCGAGGCCCTGTTGTATCATTGTCGATCTATACTTGGGTCATACACCACCTTGACGAACGAGCCTAGGTACGATTGCAGCCTGCAGCCTGTCGGAGCCGCGTGCTCTGAGACTCGTGTTGCAGGGTGAAGTGGATTTCAAGGCACGCATTCAGGAATCCAAGCAGAGTGCACCAGCTCGGACCTGATCTCCCCACTTGTTAACCAGCGGCATCGAGGCCTTGCAAAGTGCCGCAAGGGTGCAACCGCAGGAAAATGGTTCCAGGTGCCGGGCATCGTCCAAGAAAACTGTCAGTTGTTTTCCGCCCGGCCTTTGCAGTCAAAACTCTTGTCAAGCTCTCTTACGGCAAAAGAAATGCTGGTACAGAGAGCGAGCTGACATTTCAGGCTGTGACGGACAGAAAGTCTTCCCTGTCTTTCTCTCAACTTCACCTTCGATTGCCCTGGCAGTCTGGCTGCAAAGTGAGAAAGCAAAGTGAAGCTTGTCAAAGCACAGGATCCGCCTTTGCAAGCCAAGTGGTGTGGTGGCCTGGCATGTGAAGGATCCCGCGGTTCGTAGCAGCCGGCTCTCATGTTCCACACGAGACGAGCCCCGCTATCCCGGTCTCGATCGGCACGAGTTGCAAATATCGTAAACTATCCCCATCACCACATGTCCGGCTACATAAAGTCATCGTAAGGTGCCCAGAACTGGGCAGTCTCAAACCTGGCTTGGCTTGGCTTGGCTTGGCCGCGGCTCCGAACTTGTTTCGGGTTCTGAGCGTACTTGTTATAATTCGGGGGCTGTTTGCAATAGTGGTAGCACATGCAAATCAACAATAACCTTCAGCATGTGCTTTCACAACTTAACTTACAGGCAAGGCTTCAGACAAGTTCTCTCCGGTTTGGTGTTCACTGCAGCCTTGCCATCTGTGTAATGACACCGCTCAGCATGTTTCTCAGTGCCCGTACTCATAGTAAGATCGTAACGATGAAACATGTGCATGTGATTAAATGAGTAGTGGTCGCTCGCGTTCGAGCTGCTACTGTAGCTGCAGTTACCAAAAAAGACTCAAGGCTACGTGCGATCCAGGTTCAAGATCGCGCCTTTACAGAGCACCGGATCAGCTCCCGGGCTGCAAACACTTCGTCTTCTCACGGCGTTAAGCTGTTAAGGCACAATAGGTCGAATTGCCTTGTTTCGCTCTCTCTGAAATGATCACCACAGTCACCTCTCTTCCGTGCTGGTCCCCCGAACATCTTGGCTGCACTAGATAGTCGAACTTTCGCCTCTTCGAACAATCCAGGAACCCTGCTATGGCATGGTTGGAGCTGCGCTGTCACTTGCTACCAGTTTCAAGACACAAGCGCCCTTTCAGCCGCCTCTGACACTTTCAGGGACTCCCGACACGTCTGCCTGTCAGCTCCGCCTGCTCCACCGCTCTACCAGAAACCAAAAGTGTTTATCGCGGAGTTGGCCTTCAGACACATTATCAGCAAATGACCACACAAGTCACAAGTCACAACGAAAGATCATGTTGAGGACCGTCTCTACCAGTCGTCCATTCTAGAATGCCCTGAGCCAACGAAAAACTCTTGGAAGCATAGCTCGTCCATTGCTCGTGCTCCCCGTCCGGGATCAAGCGATTTCACAACCAAAAGCCGCATTTTGCAACCACAGGCAGCATTTTTCATAGAAGAATGCCCGTTTCGCAAGCGGATGGCTATGAGAACGCGCATCTTACAACTGGACGACCAGAGAAAACACAGTTTGCAGCCGGTCTCTGTTTGTCTCTCTCTCTCTCTGTTTCTACTGGGTCTTCGAGAATCCGCCGACCCTGGCGGCGTGTTGAATGGGTCTCGATTCGGATTCGATGGGTTTGGAGGTGTTAACCCCCCTTTTTTCCCTCCTCCCACACCAAAATCCCGCAGACCAGGCGGTTTTTTTTGGGGCGGGGTACCCCAGGTCCCCAGGCAAGGGGGTTCGGGCTTTTGCTGCTTTTCTGGCGCCTCTCCTCTCAAACCCCTACAGCCTAGACCAACCTCCTCTTAACCCAGACCTGAGCCCCCCAAACCCGCAAGCCTCTGGCTTGAACCCCCGCACTCTCATGGCCCA